AATATTTTTATTCCTTTTATTCCTTTGCGTTCCGAATGAAACATAGGGCTCCAGGCAACAGCTTTGAAGGCTCCGTAGCAGTGGTGCTTGTTTTTACGGGTTGAGATTTTTAGCCAAATGCTCAACCTTCTCTTTTCACCGGCTTTACTACCGGCGAGGTCTAGGAGTGCGTCGGTTGAGGAATATAATAAGATAGTGATACTATATGGATTTTTTTACTTATTAATCAGGACTTGCCATGTATCAGCTAACATCACACCTTCATGCCTCTTTAAGCTTTTGGGATTCACACATATATGTAGGGATTCTACAATTGACCTTTCTTTATACGAACCAAAATTTTTCTGTAGAACGTTGGTCCTATCAATGTCGATTGTGTGTCCCGTTTCTATTAAATGTACTGCAATCGCTGATTATTTTTGTTTTCTGGATTCTTCAACTCTGTAGAGGTCTTAAGAAGGACCTTTAGACATTTTTTATGCTCGTTCACTCCTCTTTTTAACCTGTCCGGAAGTTTTTCCTACAAATACAGCTGTGTTACATTCCCCAAAACTTATCTGGTAGATGCACTTTTGTTGGTTGTTTTCTTTTCTTTTTATCTTTAGCCTTCACCAATGATCGATTATATGTTACTGAAAAGCTTACTCTCTATGTTCACATGTCAGCTCCTAACAAGGGACTTCCGATGATGCCTAAGGATTAACATAATGTTGTTTAGTGAATGGTGGGGATCAGCAGTGGAATCCAAGGTGAACATACAGTCTCAAGTTACAGGAGGTGGCTATCGTGGCCCAAGTCTCTTAGTGTATAATGCTTAGGATTCTCAGGAGGAATACCACCACAATATGTGTGATCTGCCTGCTCGATACAACATATGGTAATCAAGAAAGCAGGCATATTTACAACAACAAAAAAACACTACTGGTTGAGTGGGGTAAGTAGTAGCCTACCACGAAGTAGCTAGCCAGAAGTTTGGTGGTTTGAAGTGTGATCCAGCTATCTGAGGTGAGTCAAACTGGGCACACCACCCCTCAATGAGCTCAATCTCAAACGAGGCGAACGTTCATCCAGTGTTTAGATCACCTCAATCTGAATGGCAAACACTACTAGTTAATATAAGTGGCATAAAACTACTCACCTCAAGCAATCAGTAGTATATATAGTTTTATGTAGAATGTTTAGTTCAAAAACTGAATCAGTTCAAACTGATACACTTCGTAAAGCACATTTGAAGATGCAGAAAAATGATGTCGTGAAACTACAATAGAAGGAGTTATGCAAGATGGAGAGAAAGAGAGAGAAGATTGTTTGACAAAGAAGGCTATAGCTGAGGCATTCTGTGGAAGCCTACACACACTGATAATCAGCATTAGTATTTGTAGTAAATGACAAAAACGTGTTCACCATATTTACTAAGATCTGTATCTATTCATAAAGTGAATTTCAATAAGCTCCGCTGAATTCTTAATAGTAATAGGTGTTTACTCATGACTACATTCATAGTCAGAAGCGTAAAAGTTACTGTCGCATTTTTTATAAGATGACTAACTTCCCAGCTGATATTTCTGTATATGTTTGAGTGACTGATATCATAGTGTCTCATCTATTTATTTACTTAGTTCATGAATGAAGTTTGAATAAAAATTCCTCTAACCTAAGGAATAGTGACCACGGGGTGCAAACACCATCCAATAACCGTGAACGCATACTATTTATTCACTATAATAAAGGTCTTTGTATTTCCCAATGAATGAAAAACAAAACGATACTGTTGTTTTACTGACGTTTCGCTATTTAATGCTGCTAATAACTGCTTTATCAAAGTATTATTAAACCGGAATTTACAAAATCTCAGCATATATATAAAAAACAGTTAGGGGGTGAGAAAATAGACTTAGGTCAAGTTAAAGGGACATATTGAAAGTAAAATAGCAATGAAGATAACCAGACCAAATAACAAAGGTAACAGTACATCTGTACAGTATATCTGTATATTATATCCGACTTATATCAGACCTCATTTGGAATATGGGATCCAGGCAGCGAGCCCGTGTTTCAAATACGAAATCGACTTATTAGAAAGGGTGCAAAGAGTAGGAACTAAGCTAATAAAGGGTTTCTCAACCCTCTCATATGAAGAGAGGTTAAGTCGACTGGGTTTATTTCCACTGTCATACAGACGACTTACGGGTGACCTAACACTAGCATACCGTATCCTAAGAAATGATTTTGCAGCAAATTTATCTAATTTATTTCTTCCTTCTAGCACCAAACAATTGCGAGGACATCACCTCAAGGTTCAAAAACCACGGCCGAATCGTCTGCGTTTGGAGATCCGTTTTTCGCATGGGATTGTGAACCATTGGAACTCCCTATCGGAACACGTCGTATGAGCGCCATCCGTTGATTCATTCAAGGCGAGATTGGACCTCCTGTGTGTAACAAATCGTAAGGATTAACACAGGTATATAGCCTACTATCCTAAATAAATTATAAACTGTAAGCTGCAAACAAAACAAAGTTTACTAACTTGATCATCGTTCGTCAGTCTGGGGGCATTTTTTTCGTTGTCAAGTTGGTCAATTGGTAAAGATAACAAAATCAAGTGTGGATTTTTGGATTTGATCAGTGTGTGAAATTATAAAAGCAGTGTGTGTTTACATAGTGAACTTGCTTATCACATTCGTGTTGTTTTTGTCACTTCATGGTTGGGGAGGGGTGTGATGCAACCAGGTCAGATTCTCTTTTAATTCATCATTCCTATTCAGACAATTTGGATTCCACTTGAAATGAAGTGCTTCTGATATTAGACGTTCTTTGTGATTTCGGAAGTCTTTCTGGGTTGTTTCAATATTGCCAAAATCAATTTAGTGGCCTGATTCTATAGCGTGTAGACGAGCTATGGCTGATGATTTTTCAAGCTTTTCTAGTTCAACCGGATTTCTCTGTGGTCGAAGAGATGCTCTACGGTGTTCATTTCTTCTCATTACCTTGATTTCTCTGAGTTGATGTTTGTCCGATGTATATCGCATCACATTCCAAGCATTTTATTTTATAGACACAATTAGATACAGAATCTTTAGGGATTTGATCTTTGATATGGACTAGGTTGTTTCGTAGTGTGTCTGATGTTTTGAATAAAACTCTAATGTCGAGCTGATTGAGTACTCTTCTGATATCATCTGACGTCTCTGCTCTATATGGAATGACGACTGTTGATGTCCATGTTTTCGGAATGCTTTATCGGCCATACGTAATGTCTGTGTTGATTTTATTAGTGAAGTTCCATTCACTAAAACAGAATCTGACCTGGTTACAACACCTCCCTCCCCCCTCATCAAGTGACAAAACCAACACGAATGTGATAAGCACTTTCATTATGTAAACACACACTGCTTTTATAATCTTATACACTTATCAAATTCAACAATATACACATGATGGTTTTGTTATCTTTACCAATTGACCAACTTGACAACGAAAAAAATGCCCCCAGACTGACGAACGATGATCAAGTTAGTAAACTTTATTTTGATATCATAACAGATGTACTATTTATTACCTTTGTTATTTGGTCTGGTTATCTTCATGGTTATTTTGACTTTCAATATGTCCCTTTAACTTGACCTAACTTGTCTATTTTCTCACCTCCCAACTCTTTGTTATATATAAGCTGAGTGGATTTTGTAAATTCCAGTTTAATAATACTTTGATAAAGCAGTTATTAGCAGCATTAAATAGCGAAACGTCAGTAAAACAACAGTATCGTTTTGTTTTTCATTCATTGGGAAATAAAAAACCTTGATTATAATGAATATCATATACCTAATGCCCAAATTTTTTCAAACTGTTAAAAGTGAACTTGGTTTGGACATATATACTATTTATTGGATTGCAGAACCTACCGCTGTTATGACAGCCCAGTATGAAATGAAGTGCGATTTTCATCCTTATCTGTTTGAACACTGGGTTGATAGCATGTTAGGGTTTAGGGTGTTTTATTATTGTTATTATCTCTGTTTTTCTTATAAATAAATAAATGGGAGGAGAGCGTGTCTTTCTACATATAAATGAAACTGTTTCAATAGACATGAAACGTGAAAACTGATATCCTTTATTGTATATATAGGGAGTATCTCTAAATTACACCAAGGTATATTATCATATTCACTAGGCTCTCAATCAGTGAATCTATCGAAATCATTTGTCAGCAGTCTGATCTTCTCTCACTCACAGTGCCGGAATTCAAACGCCTACTGATAATGTATACCATGAATGTAAAATTCCAGTTTGACAACACTCTTTACCGACAAATAGATGGTTGGAAGCAATAGGCAGCCCACTTAGCTCTGTTTCAGTGGATGTCTCCATATGCAGTACATAGTGGAAGCATGCTTTCGACGTAACAACTTCCTATTACCAATATGTCAATGACACATTTGTAGTGGGCAACAATCAAGGTTATATTTTTCCCA